GTGGCAAATGTTTGTTATTCTGGGAGCTCGTTGACCCAACGGTCTTCTCCAATAAACGTTCTTGTAGGAGTACACTGACAATAAGAAAATAAACCTTTCTGTATTGACAGACCAAATATATTGGCAAGGACTTCAGAAGGCAATTCAAATTAAGAGTTAGCAGCTGAAACGCTCCCACAGACGTGACTCAAAAGTACCTGACACCTTTATCTCTTGTAAACACACACCAGGTAAGACAGCTCCAGGAGGATGCTGCACGCCTTCAGGCTGCCTATGCTGGAGACAAAGCTGATGACATCCAGAAGAGAGAAAACGAAGTCCTAGAGGCATGGAAGGCGCTGCTGGATGCCTGTGAGGGCCGCAGGGTTCGGCTGGTGGACACAGGAGACAAATTCCGTTTCTTCAGCATGGTTCGGGATCTCATGCTTTGGATGGAAGATGTCATCCGGCAGATTGAAGCCCAGGAAAAGCCAAGGTAATGTGAAACATCTTGTGTGACAGCACACGAAAGAAAAGGCTGCAGGTCAGTTGTAACACTCGGTGTCACTGAGCCAGAAATTCGTGAGGTTGGCAAGATGTGGTGGTGTGCTGGCAGCTTGCTTTTGTGTACTGCTGCCAGCAGAGGCTGGGGGTGCTGAAGTAATTGCAATGGAAAGTCGTGTTCAAAGAGATTGTTAGCAGCCTTTCCTCAGGAACAGCAGCATTCTGGTGCCAATCAGATGTCCGATGAACAAATCCTGTTTTCTGGGCTACAGAGACAACGTATGAATTAAATTCTGTGCTGTGCCATTCTGGGTTAGATGATTTATTTGAAAATGTAACTACTTTTATGTCTGAAATGTGTGATTCTGAACCATGGATTGACTATTCTAGGGATGTTTCATCTGTTGAACTACTAATGAACAATCACCAGGGTATCAAAGCAGAAATTGATGCCCGAAATGACAGCTTTACTACCTGTATCGAGCTCGGCAAATCTCTTCTGGCAAGAAAACACTATGCATCAGAGGAGGTATTGTGCTTACTGAATGTAACAACTGCAGTGCTGATGGCGTGTAGATTCAAGTTCAGCTAGAGAAACTGTCACTGTGTTATCTGTGGATTAATAATGCATGTTTATAACGTCATGCATTACTTCAGGGACCTTATCTGCACCTAACTGCTGATGTGAAATTAGTGTGTGATTTAGTGCTGTGAATTCATGTTGGGAGGCAGGAATGACACCTAAATTTAAGGTATCAGTGTCCATCCAGGAAATACAAAGAAGAAGCTGCTGCATTCAGGTCTGCAGAGCCGTCTTTGGGATGGTCATGCTTGGAAAGGTGTTTCCTTTGAGCAAGAGCAGAGATAACTCTGAGGGTGCCTGGATTTTGAAGGGGCCTGCTAGGGAAAGGAGTAGAAAATTGTTTATGGGGGGCAAGTCCAGGGAGTGTTATGAGCAAAACGTACCCAGCAGCCTAAGGCCTTGTTTTGTTTTCTGATCTGACTAGACCAAAGAATAGCAGTTAAACCTTGTTTCTTCCTGCCTTCCTTTGGCCAAAGGAGGGTAGCCACTGGTTGTAAGACACTGCCCATGCAGGAGGGTGACATTTTCTGTGTCTTCGTTGTACGTAAGTGCTGCAGAGGAACTGGGAGGTTTTGCCAGCCAGTCTTTGCCCTGAGAAGAATATGGGGCTTATGCTGACACGTTGTTGTTAGCACAGGTAACGAGGCTTTTAATAGCAATCATGGGCAGCATGTTTTGCATTTTCTCCTAGAAAAAAGTAGAAGTACGTTTGCACCATTTGTTTGTCTGTTCTGCTCTTTTAACCAAATGATCTTGATAACGTAGTTCTTAAGAAATACTGTATGCAGATGTGATATTGTAATAGAAACTTTATATTTCTACTTCAAAAATAAGGAAAGCTGTTACATTCATACCAAGTCATTTCCTGGCAAACTAGTGCCGTGTTTCCTTTCACTAAATGCCTGTGTCTTTTGCTTGTGGTAACAGCTTACATGCTGTGGTGGGGTGAATGTGATGCCTGATGCTTATGTAACAGTCCTGCATTCTCCTCTTAAATCCAGATCAAGGAAAAGCTACTGCAGCTGACAGAAAAAAGAAAAGAAATGATTGACAAGTGGGAAGACAGATGGGAGTGGCTGAGACTGAGTAAGAACGTCCTTGGATTTCTCTTGGCAGGGCCATAGCTAACTCTTTCCTCTATCTTTCTGAGCATTGAAAAAACCTACAGCTCCTTACCTTTTTTTATTGGCCTTGCTTGAAAGTGTGCTTGTACTGTATTAATTGTAGAATTCACATCTGTTAACTGTAACATAATGGAGAACTTGAAACAAAGAAACCTGCACTGAAGCTGTTACTCTGTATGACTGAAGTCAGAGCTGGGTGAAACAGATCTAGCATGTTTTGCAGGTGCCATCTTCCAACTGTGTTTCTACAGAGGATGTGCTAACAAAAAATAGGGGGAAGCAAAGTCTTGTTACCTTACACATGTAACATACTTGCATTATCTGACAGTTAATTGACAAAAGATGTACCTTCAAGCATTGCAGCATTTTCCAAGTTCTTCACCAGAAATAACACAGATCAGAAACTCTGACAAGGTTTTCTGTAGCTCTTGTAGCAAACAGTTGCCAATTTGTGCCCTTCCAGCATCTCAAACTGTACAGTGCAGTGATCATTTGGTAGAGCTTTAGGCTGCTGTATGTGCTTTCTTCATTCTTCCCAAGTCTCAGCAAGCTTAAGGAAAACAGTAGCATGAGGAACTGTCCCTAAGTGTTGGTGTTTGTATCATGTTCTTCATCAAAATGGTGTGATCTCATTCACAAAAGCTGCTGACGCTTGTTTTCAGCTGGAAGGAAACCTTTAACTACAGCACTGTAGACAAGTGTGGAGTAGAGAAATACTGCTTGCTGAAGGGACTTGCAGCTTTCATCGTGTTTGGTAGGCAGGCCAGTCTGAGGAATAAACCAGCAGATAGCAGAATTCCTGCTCTGAGTTTAGTTGGTTACAGCAGATTAGAACCGAATAGAAACACTGGAATTAGAAAGTGAAATAATCTGTAGAAGATATAAACTTCACTTTTGTTTTTCCTCAAAGCAAAGCCAACATGACAAATTTCTGTCTTTTAAATCATTAATTTCAGTGAACTTAGTTAAGGAAAACATTTGGCCAATGCTGTTTTGAAGTAAATTCAGCTACTCTGAAGTAAACTCAGAAGATGCCTGCTAACTTCATGGTGCCATTTTCGACACTAACGGCACTGATGTGTGTACATTCTTCATTCAGTTTTGGAGGTGCACCAGTTTTCAAGGGACGCGAGCGTGGCTGAGGCCTGGCTGCTGGGCCAGGAGCCCTACCTGTCCAGTCGTGAAATAGGACAAAGTGTTGACGAAGTGGAAAAATTAATTAAGAGGCACGAAGCATTTGAGAAATCTGCAGCTACTTGGGATGAGAGATTTGCAGCACTGGAAAGACTGACCACGGTGAGTGCTGGTGAAGCGTTCTACGTATGTCAAGCAGATGAGGATGGCACTTGAGTATTTGGATAACTTGGGATGCTTTTATGTTTGCTTGTTTTGTGTTAATGAAATGAATTAGATAAGAAATCTGGACAAGTGCCAGGCAGCTGTGCCAGCACTCCGTTTGATGCTAAGGGTCTGATGCTGTGTGGCTTTATCGACAAATTTGGTGCGACAAACTTTGCATGATTAATAGTTTTAAAGACTCGAGCTTTCAAATTTAATTCCAATAAACTTTAAGCTCAGGAGTTTCAGAAAAATGCAGAGATTATTCTTAATTTTTAGAAACGCACCTGAAAAATGGCTGATTTGCAGTGCTTTATGTTCAAAAATGTTTCATTTCTCAGTTGGAACTGCTGGAAGTTCGTCGACAACAAGAGGAAGAGGAGAGGAAGAGAAAGCCACCTACTCCAGAGCCAAGCCCAAAGGTTGCAGAAGATGGAGGCTCCCAGCAGCAATGGTAAGCCGTGATGCAGGAAGCTGATGTGCTTCATGCACGTTCTTGCGTTGGAATTCTCTGGGTGAGGATGAGCTGTAAAGGGGAAGTCTGGAGGTTGCCTGTTTTTGTGATGTAACTCTTTTTAGAAGACTTCATAGATGCAGTCAGGGGGGCCACGACTTTCACAGGCGTCTGAATTCACTGCTAAGATGAATGTTCCAATTTTTCATCAGGAAGCAGTTACTACTGTTGATGCACACCTGGCCTATACAGCCTTTTTATACAGCCTCTGTGTTATGAATTAATATTTCTACGCAATCTCGTATTTCTCTTTTAATGAGCATCAGTTACAGATAGATTTTAAGCCACGTCCGTGGAGCATTAACATTTATCAAATTACTTGTGTGATAGGAGCAGACCTTGTGAAGTAACTATCACAAAAGCCTCCTTTGATCAAACTACTTTGGATTTCTTTTACTCAGTTGGGCATTTTTTTTCTTTGCTTCCGCCATTGCAAGTGGAAATCTGTTCAAGGCTTTTACAGTGCTGTCAACAAATGACTTGGCAGTTGTTAAGAACTTGCTTGCAGTTCTGAGACGTGCAAAATTCAGTATGAAAATCTTGTTCAGGATTAAAATACGACTGACTTTCAAAAGCTTAATAAAATTTCTCCTTCCTCTTTCTCGACAGGGATGGGACAAAAGGAGAACAGGTTTCCCAAAATGGTTTGCCATCAGACCAGGAATCTCCACGGGTTAGTTACCGCTCCCAAACCTACCAAAACTACAAAAACTTTATTAGCAGACGGACAGCCAATGACCGATCGTGGTCTGGACTGTGACATACAATCATTTGCAGCAAAAGACACCTTTTTGTTCAGTATGGTCTACTGGTACTGGTTTAATCTTTTGGCTTCAGATTTCCCTGCTGCTTTTCTCTTCCTTCCCATCAGTTGACTTCTATTGAATTAGCAGATCCTTGGAGATATATTTGTTTCACTTTAATCCTTGTTTATTTGAATATCCCCACTGACACTCAGTTGCTTTAAGGTGACACATTTATTTCATGTTATTTACTGTGAGTTTTTCATGTTGTTAATAGTATTAAGATTTTCCAGCTAAACCATCCTTTTATGAGTAATTGAGATTTAATGAGATAACATCATAATGAAGAAGAGAACTAGAATCTGACAGGTATGACGCATCGAGTTATACTAACAGGTTTCAGCACGGCAACAGTATTAAATCAGCTGCATTAGCAAGCGAGTTATTCACAAGGCCAAAGACAGTACCTGCAAGTGAGCTCAGTAGTGAAGGCTAGGAGGGTGGGGGGTGTTGTGACTACCAACAAATTAAAAGCCTTAAGATTAGCTGTATAACATTCCATGTAGAATGGACACGTTGACTGCAGATAAAAATAAACGTGAAATAAAACAATAAAAAATAGTTTCTAGATTTATCTTGGTATTTAGTCCTAATGAAGACTTGTGATCATACTGAATAGCTGCTTTGGGGCCCCGTTTACTCTCAGTCCTGTCTAATTTATGCAACAGCAATTTTGTTTCCTGACCCTGGAGATAAAGGGGTATAAATGAGAGTAGGTTGTGGACCCTTAAAGAGGGGTTGTGATGCTTTTCTCTGAAAGTGAAATAAAGTACATTGGTCTAAGATTCCAGCTCTGTATTTTCTATAATGTGGGCTGAATTGTACATTCAGTCCTTTTTGACAGAGGGTATTCCAGTGGAGTCAAGATGCATCTTAAAGGAGAAATACCAGTAAATATGTATATGTGTTTAAAGCAACAAAAGAGTAGCAAACTGGCTTTACCCCCCCATTACCTTCCTGCAAAGCCAACTTGTTTTCACTGGTGCCTAGAATCATGGGAAACATCTCTCGTGTTGTCTGTCGTGTTTTTGAACCTCACTCTCTGAGGTCACACTGAGCAGAGGAAAGGCTGCTGGCAGGCTCAAGTCAGTGGCTACCAGAGCTCCTACCTGTAGCACAGGGGAAATATGGGTCCCAGTCTAGGACTGTGGGAAGAATGCCTTTCAGCTTAAGTTTGCCTTTCAAATCGTGCATCCCAGTGGCTTCTGAATCTGCACACTGTTAATGCTGTAGGATATTAAGCAGTTCTGCCTTTTTCTTCCTTTAGATAAAGTCTTTTAGTTCATCTTTAGTACTCAGGAGGAAGTGAGATAACTGTTGTACACTCCAGTGTTTATGAACTTGTAAGTAGTTGTGGCAGGGAACACGAGGTGGCCTGCAAGCACACCCCAGATCGTCATCATCTTGTTGCTTATCATGGCCTCATACACCACCCGTTCCTTTCATTTTTCATTTTATTCCCATGAAACATAATGCATTTCTGTGTTAATCTTTGCCATCCACACTTCAGTCTTACAGCAGAGCTTTTTCCATTGGATCTTGTTTGCAGTACATCAGATGTACACAGCCGTGTTCTTTCTGACCTGAGGCTCAAGACATGCTGTTGGTCAAATTGTAAACTTCTGGCTGATCAGTGCAGCTCAGTTATTCTGTGTTGGCTGAGATCGTAAAGAGGGAGGTGATGGAAAGGATGTGCTTCAGTGATTATACTTTTACTGTAACTTGTCTTTTCCACTTCATGATGCATGTTTTTTTTTCTTTTGTCAGGATAACAAGATAGAGATTCTTAATGCTTTTAAAAATTCCATATGAAATGATGCAAATGATCTGGTGACTACCTACACCAGTGTTGGTTCTCTGTGCCTTTAGGACTGTGACAGCTGTAGAGCAGTTTAGCTGTAGCTTCAGACACCACAGCCTGAAAATACTTCAGGTAAATTCTGGATAAAAATTAGTATGTAAAAAGTAATTTATATGGATACATTGATAGATGGGAATTATACTTTTATGATTAGGGAAAATGAATTAAGTATCAGTTAAGGTCATCATTTTCAGCACTAGGTGTGTAAGATTTCACTGCTTGATTGTGGCCCGTGGTTCTGGCTTAGAGCATTAAAAGGATGGTGAGGCCAGAACAAGATACAAGCTGTCACCTATTTACATCTGAAAAGGCAAATATGTCTCTATTATTTCAGCTGTGGTGCAGAGGCTTAATGTGATGAACTGAATATAACGTTGCTTTAAGCACTATGAAAATCAAAGGGATGTCTCCAGTCATTGCCACCGGCTGTTCTGTTGCATGAAATACAGCCCTGAGTTAAGAACACCTCAGGAGCAGCCCCTAGCCACTAAAGCACTTGCAACTAACCTCTCAGTCACAATTAAGACAACTGTTTCCATGTACGTGATGACTGCTTTGTTGTAACAGTACAGTTTGCTATTACTGTTTGTCTTCTGTTGCGTTGTCTGCATGCCCAGCGCATGTTCCATTAAAGTTTGTCTAGCTCCCGTTTTCCTCTATTTTCATTACACATTCTTTGCATACCTGTTTATGATTCAGATTTATTTTGCTTGTTTTCTGTTAATTGTAGATAACACATGGAAAGGAAATAAAACCCGAAAGAGCATCAATAAAGCTTTTCATGGCCCTTTTACAATCAGTAGCATTTTAAGTAGATATTACAGGTCTGATTGTGTAATTGAAGTTGGCATTTGTCGCTTAAAACCATGGGGTTGCAGATTGCAGCACTGAATTACACGTTACTTCCCATAAAGACAATTTAAGTACCTTTTGCAGTGGCTGCTGTTCTGGAACTTGTCCTTTTTTATTTCAGATTAATTGTTAGGGATACCCAAAAGTGTCTAATAATTATTTTCACATCTTGTCTGTATCAGTACAGAAAACTTTTAGCACTGGTAGTTCTGGGTAGTTTGTCTGAGGTGGTGCTGAGTTCCTGTGTCTGTGCAGCAGGCAGACCATGCGAGTGTCCAGTAATTCTGTGTGGGCTTTGTGTATCTCAGACAGGGATCCTGCCAGTTTAGAAGAGTATCTCTGAAGGGCTTTCCTTTATCTTGAATGTGGAATGTTGGGCATTAGTGATCAGCAGTGGCGATGAATAATTAATTGAGCACTCACAGGTGAATCACTGGCTGCAAATGACACAACCTGTGTTGCAGTAGCAGTGCCGGCAGCGTTTGGATAAGCTTCAGTCTCATCTATCTGTTTATTCTCCCCCATCCCCTGCCCTTCTTTAATGCAAGATTTTTGAATTAAGATTTGGATAGAAATAGCCTGGTTTGATGGTTTTGACTTACCCTGATTTTGAAGAAACAGCATCACTGAATTTTACTCCATCTGGCTAACATGAGATAGATAGATCTTCAGCGCAGGGTAGATATTTCTTCTAATAAACTGAGCTGTAAGGCGGTGTTTCTTTAGGGACAGAGTAAAATAGATACGACTGCAGTGGAATGTGAGCTGTGATTCTTTTCCTGTTTCAGTGGTGTAGTGTCTGTACTCTGGAAATTTAGATTGCTTAAAGGCAGTTAACCAACCCTTCCCATATCCATAGCAAGTTGACACTTAGATCTTTCTAGGTCAATATATGAGGTACAAAGGTGTGAGGTACAATAACGTATACTTGGCAGGTACAAGAAGTTCTAGCAAACAGTAGCAAAATTCAGTATGTTGCATAATTCGGCTGCTTTTGAATTGTCCGGGCTATGTGCAGAAGTGGGAATGTCTAATTATTGTGCCATTCACAAATACCTGCTTGTCTGCATAAAAACAGTCCAGAACGTTTGTAATCTACTAGAGCGTTAGCAGCACTAAGCTTTAGTAACTTGCTAATAATAATAATACACACTGGTTGTGTAACTCCTGAGCTGCTACCAATGGCTCTACGTGTCCAAGTAATGGTACAAGAAAACAAAAAAAACCAAAAAAACTGGGACCAAGCTGCATTTCAAAAGTGTATAGCCATTAGGATTCCAATTTAAATGATTTTGGGATGAATGGCTCCTGAAGACGTCGAAAGCTTGACCAGTCAGAGCTGCTGGAAACATGGCTGCTCTCTAGGCTATCTCGATCACAGTGCGACAGGCAACGCGATCAACAAAGCAAGTGATGGGCAAGGCCTTGGTTCTGTCTTTGTTTGGGGGTAAATAGCTGTGTGATGTTGTGTGACTGTGGTGGTTTTCAGTTCCTTTAACAAAAATCCAATCCTCCTAATAATGGAAGTCTGAAAAAGACTTCGATAAATGACGTCTGACCTCATTTCCCTTGTCTTTAAGATCGAATACCTTAACTGGGATGCTGGAGATGAAATGCATGGTGTAATCTCTCTAATTTCTGCATGTTTTGATTTTGTTGTGTCACTAGGGGAATGGGGAAAGTGGGAAAGGAGCTTTTACAGAAATAAATTCTGAAAATTTTTGTAAATGCTCCTGGGCAGTTTTGACATATTTTTCTGCTGACTCATAGCTAATACCTTTTATAGATCTTTTATGCCCCAGTAATGTCACAAACGTATTTAAGGTGGCTGATGTGTATAACTTCTACTGTTCCTCTTAGGTTTGCAGAAAGTGTGATTGTTACTGTTCCAAACATTTGAGTAAGCAGCAGAATTGAATGCTCTCCTTTTAGGAACAACAATACATAAAATATTATGAATTGACTAGCAGAGCAAAGCACAGTAAAATTCACACTGAAGTTTAGCAGCTCTTATATTCCTGTTTCTCCACCTGTAAAATGGGTACTAATCCATTCATACCTTCTAATTTCCTTGGCCTCCTGTGTCTCCATGAGAAAGATCTCATTGGCCTGTGTCATTCTCCAGGCAAAGCTTATACACAGCCACATTGTGCAGGGAATCAGGTTAACTGCAGAATACTTCAGTGTTGCGAGGCATCTAGCTGAACACTTTGTTCACTGTCCCTAGGTGGCAGAAACTGCAGAAACAAACGAAATGGTTAATGGAGCTGCAGAACAGAGGACAAGTTCAAAAGAGTCCAGTCCTGTTCCTTCTCCAACGGCAGACCGCAAAGCCACGGCTGCCATTCAGGCTCAGACTGCTGCTACCCTACCAGCCAAAACACAGGAGATTCCTTCAGCTCAGATGGAGGGCTTCTTGCATCGTAAACATGAATGGGAGACACACAGCAAGAAAGCCTCCAGCAGGTAAGAGTACTTGATGTTTAATGAAGATCGCTGCTTAATAATGCAGATACTTGCATCCAAGCTCACTGCGATGTATGGTTCGAATTTTGGATGATCCTGGGTTGAGCCAAGAGCTTATGGGTCCCTTCCAACACTGGGCATTTTGTTATTACATAATAGTCAATGTTATCACTGCAGTTATTGTCTTCTCGCAGCTCCAAAAATATTTTAAAGCTCCTGTTCTAGAAATTGCATATGCATGATTGAATAATGTATTTCATGAGGTTGCAATCTAATCATACGTGTTAGAAGATGCACTATTGGCTTATATTTGGAAGGTAGAAAATGGAGGCATGAAGATATCATGACTTTCCCACTTCGTGTGATGAATTTGTGGCAGTAGTGGGATTTGATTCCAGTTCTCTCAAGTTGTGCGTTACTACAAGAAAAGAAAAACATGTAGGTGTAAGAACAGAAATGCCCATATTATTCTGACATCTTCTTCTGTTTGCACGTTAGCACTTTCCACCTACACTGTAATCTGTTCAGAAGAGAAGAACTAGTGAAATGTTTTTGTGTGCCTTAGTTGATTCTGTGCCTAAGGACTCAGTTGTGTGGTCCTCAAATAAGCAGAATTTCTGAGCTTTCTGCCTGCAGTGGAAAATCACATGCTGGTTCGTTGTAACCTGAGAAAGCTCTTGAGAATAGTTGTGTGACTTGGCTGAAAAGGAAAGTGTTGACTATTGAGCTACACCAACACCTGAGGGACGTGGTCAGAGTTGAGGTGCTCAGCAGAGCTGAGTGCACATCATAAGACAAGGGATCTGCACTACAGGACTACCATTTTTCTTCAGCTAGAGTTGCTTCACATCAGAGAACTAATTTGGTGTTGCAACAGCTGCTAATACTAACATTTAGGGACCCTTATTTCTACTAACCATTGGTTTTTGTAACTGCATTAGACAATGAGTTAGATGATGTCACTAATCACTCCTGACAGTCAAGGATTTCATATTTAATTTCTTCACTGGCTTGCAAATGAGAACTCCCTCTACAATGAAGTATAGTCATCAAAAGGTCTATCAGTTTATCTCCCAAGAATGTAAGCTGCATAGTCTGCCAAACGATCCACCCACTGCTAGGAAATGCTTATGTGCTATCAGAGAGCTCTGGAAACCTTTCATTCCATTTGGCTCAAAGTCAGGACTTCTGTCTTGAAGTAGTGCTTGTATGAGAGAATTTTTGTCTGCATTTTGCAGGACATAGTATACTGTGCTTCTGTCCTCAGGTTGAACTGGTCTCCATTATCTTATAGCAATCATTGTGTTCAGTTTTGCCAGTTTTTCAAGCAAGAGCATTAGATTTATAAGTATTTTTGTTGTTTTCTGTGTCTCGAAGGTCATGGCATAACGTGTACTGTGTCATAAACAACCAAGAGATGGGCTTCTACAAGGATTCAAAAGCTGCTGCTTCTGGCATTCCCTATCACAATGAGATCCCAGTCAGCTTGAAAGAAGCAGTCTGTGAAGTAGCAGTCGATTATAAAAAGAAGAAGCATGTGTTCAAGCTAAGGTAAACCTGCTGACGTTTCTTTACATGAGAAATAGCTGTGGTGGGTATGTTCACTCTGCAAATTCACGGGCAGGACCCAGCCCAAGAGCTGATGATGACTATTAACTGCAGTATCTGCTTTTCTGAACAGGGTTTTTCCCAGCCCTGAAATCTGGTGTGTTTATCAAAGGTAGCAATCAGTATCAAAACAGTAATGGTACTTATTTATGAGATAAGACTAGATACATAAAGTTAAGAGTCTGCACTTAAAAACCCTGAGCTTTCCAACTGCTGCCTCTGGAACTGAATGAAAAGAGCTGAGTGTTCATGGTTCTGCTCTTCATAAAAATCTTTTGTTTAATTTTTTTAGTATGGATTTAGGAGACTGTTGAAGACATCCATTGATCACATTTTCAGGTTTTGAACGTGTTGCAGACAGTCACTTTTGAAGTATATGAGGTACTTGTTGTTCAAAGGATATAAAAACACGGCTTTCAGTTCCAAAACTGTGTTTTACTGAGTAATACTTCAGTGCCAACAGTTAAAAAATATTGTACTATTACACAGCTGCTAGAGGACTCTTTCAAAGGAGACTCACTTTATGAACTGACTGGATTGTGTAATCTAAGATAGGTTTTTTTCCAAGTCTACACTGATGCAAGAATCCTCTAAATACAATTCTTATATAAGGAAATTTGCTACTGACCTTTTTGAAGACAGGCCTGCAGCTCTGTGATTCATCCTTCACACTATTAAAACATCTCTGAATTGATAATGTAAGAATAAGGTGTTCCAGATACAAACCTAAGCAGAAAAATCAATTGCCCTTCTTTCACTGACACGTGTATCAGAACTGCTTCAGTATCATGTGGCATATTTCCTCAGAGTTCACCTGCTCATTGTGGCAAAGCTCCATCTCCAGGCTGAGAAGAGCATCTGGGAGGATTCTGCAAAGGCTGAGGCCTCTGTTATGCAGGTTCACGCGCAGGCAGTTCTCACAGAAAAGCCTCGTAGCGATCTGTGGAGAGTACAATGGAAATATTTTCCTTAATTTTTTACAGAAAGCCAGGCATAGTTGAGACCTGCGCTCTCTTTATCTCCAACAGTGTTATCTTTAACAGTGACGTAGATGATGGGATCGAATGCACTCTCAAATTTGCACCAAGCTGAGTGGTGCAGCTGATACAACAAAAGGAAGTAGTGCCGATCAGAGGTACCTGGACTTGAAATGTGGGCCTGTGTGAACCTAATGAGGCAATCCCAGATATGAGTACAGACTGAGAGAAGAACTCCTTGAGAGCAGCCCTGTGGAAATGGGCTTGGGGGTCCTGATGGGTGAAAAGCTGGACCTGAGCCAGCAGTGTGTGCTTGCAGTCCAAAAGGCCAACAGTGTGCTGGGCTGCATGGACAGAAGGGTGGCAGCAGGGAGAGGGAGGGGATGTCCCAATCTGCTCTGCCCTCGTGAGGCCCCACGTGCAGTGCTGTATCCAGGTCTGGGGCCACCTGCTCAGGAAAGATGTGGACCTTTTGGAGCAGGTCCAGAGGAGGGCCAGAAAGATGCTCTGAGGGCTGGAGCACCTCTCCAGCAAAGACAGACTGAGGGAAGAGAAGGCTTCAGGGAGATCTCATTACAGACTTCCAGTATTGAAAGAGAGATGATAAGTAGGGGTGAAGTCTACTTCTTAAGTGGGTAAATTGTGACAGGACATGGGGGAGTGATCTTAAGCTAAAGGAGGGATGACTTAGATCAGATGTCAGGAGGAAACTTTCCAATGAGAGAGCAGTGAGGTGGTGGCACAGGCTGCCCAGGGAAGGTGGGATGCCCCATCCCTGGAGGTATTCAAGTCCAGGTTGGATGGGGCCCTGAGCAGAATGGTCTAGCATCTCATTTAGTGGATGGCAACACTGCCCGTAACTGTGGGGTTGGAACTAAATGATCTTTGAGGTCCTTTCCAACCCAGGCCTTTTTATGATTCTATGATAGTTACATTCTTCCAAATGTCTTACTTCAGCTTTATGTTGTTTTGCCATTTAATGCTTCTTTTTCTGGAGAAAGATCAGGTGCTGCTTCCACTGACCCTATTACTTGTTCAGATGCTTGATCTGATGTAATTCAGTCTTTTTTTTTTTAATTAATATATCTTCATACATAACAAATGGTTAAATGTATCCCAGTTAAATTCTCTGAGTAAAATCAGCACAGTAATAAAACAGACGGAATTTTCTGATCTTCACTGTGAGAAGATGCAGTACTCGTGAGCCATGTACAGTATGGTATCTTGACTCATCATCACGGTCTGACAGCAGGGCAGTTGCAGAGTTTTGATGGGTTTCTACCAAAAAAATGTAAACTCTGGGTGTTGTCTGTGACTTTTGGCTTTTAAAATATCGAGTAAACTTTTGTACTGTCATTTGCAAGATAGACGAGATCTGCCTGAAAGAGCAAGTACTGAAATAAGCCATCAGCTGCCAAAGATCATGACCTGTGCAGTGCAGCGTGACATACTGGAACACTGACACTATCATAAGCATAGGGATCAGAATATAGTGTGTGTGGCTGGATCTCATGGCAGTATGAGATACCAGAACATTAGTTGTTGGCATGTATTTGTGCCTGTAGAGATGTTACGAGTTTCCTGTATGTCTCAGTCTGGTTATGTACTGTAGCTAAAAAAGCAGGAATTGAACCACTGTGACTGCTGCTAACCTTGATTTGTGATGGGTGTTTTCTCTACAGATTGACTGATGGCAATGAATACCTCTTCCAAGCCAAAGACGATGTAAGTGTGTTTTTCTCAGTCTATTACTGATGGGGATTCTGTGCTGTTGGACAAGGGGAAATAAAAATTAAAACAAAAAAAACTGCAAAGAGCTTAGGAGTGCACTGCAATTTTCTGGTCTCCGGTCATGTATGTATGTGTGCATAATGATTGAGGAGTCTCAGATGCAGATTGAAGTAGACAGCTCCTGCAGGTGCATAACCAGAGGAGTGCCAGATGATAGTTAGCACTGTGTTGGATTCCCCATTTCTATCCGTTCCCCATCTGCAATGCTGAATGCGAGAGGGAGCGTGGTGCGTGGGTTGTAACAGCTTTCTACCTTTCGGGCTTCTTGAAGGAGGAGATGAACACGTGGATCCAGGCCATCACATCAGCTATCTCATCTGATAAAATCGAAGTGTCCCCGACCACTCAGAGCACTCCAGCCTCCAGCCGTGCCCAGACCCTGCCTGCCAGCGTCACAATAACCAGCGAGTCCAGTCCTGGCAAGAGAGAGAAAGACAAAGAGAAAGACAAAGAGAAAAGATTCAGCCTTTTTGGTAAAAAGAAGTGAACTCCATCTCCACACACTGCACTTCTCTGACCGTTCCAGTGGAATTCCAGCATGCGAGCTCAGAACCAATACGTTACTCTCTGTGCCTCATGTTCCTCAATGTGATTGACATTTTTTTATTTATAGAGCATTTTAAAATAAAAAGCCAACAAAAAGGAATCTAAAGTTACAAGTATGAGGTGCATTGGGCAGCTTCTGTAGGAGGGGGAGGACCAGCTTTGGGGGGGTTGTTTTTGTTTGTTGTTTTTTTTTAAATGAAGTTAGTGTAGATTAGATCTTACTATTTAAACTGTTCCTCAATTTTGTGAGGCTGTCTTGGAAAATAACCCACTCCTAGTGCTATTGGTATGCAAGGCAGCGGTGCTTTCAATCTACTGTGCACATCAAAACCCAATGGACAAATTTTCAAAAATGTTCACTTCCATTTAAGGTTGTAATGCTGAGTCTTGACTAGTGGAGCCTCCCATTTCAATTCTAACATTTATTAAAATGATAGCGTATTATCTTTCCTGTAACAGAGTGCAGGTATGCATTAACTTACAGACAAACCATTCCTGTCCTGGCATTGGTTATTAACACAACCTGAAGCTTTTCTGCATCAAGTATGACAGATAAGAATGTTATCTGAGATGGATAAGCAGGCTGATACAGTTTTAAATAATCTGTAATTTCAAAAAAAAAAACCTTTTTTTTTGCTGAAATACATTATATTGTATGTTTCAGATAATTCTAGTACAAAGTATAATAAGACTAGATGTATAATAAACCCTTTAAAATCATTGATAAGTGTAAAAGTGGAACTGAAGCATTTACTGGAAAAGTAATGTTACTCAAATGGTTACTTGCTTGTCAGCTGCAGCACTGCGTGTTATAATTTTGCTACATTACCTTGCTCTTTGATACATAGTGTGCATTTCTCTGTCACTGTAACTATTGTAATGAAAAATTTTCATCTTACTGCACAATCAAAAACTACATTTAATAGGAATGAACTTTCGATGACTGGGCCTGTAGTCAAGAGTAGTACTGGAACTGGTTTTCAGTTGTATCGAACTGTACCTCTAGACTTTTACCCTATCTGTTAAATATATGCTATGTCATTAAATGCTTTTAAAACTAAATATGCTGGTTAAGTTTCTTATTTCATTTCTGATAATGTTAAATCATAATTTTGAAAGGATCAAAAATAAAGTTATTTTAAAACGTCTTCTCTCCTGTGCACTGAAGCGAATGTCTTAAGTTGTAATTCCGTTTTTTTGTGTGTGCAAAACTTCATACTGAAATAATTGTTACCTCTCTTCTCACTTTTCTTTATCTTCCCTTTCCCTTCACCTCCCACTTGCCCTCCCTCCCATCCTTCCCCTCGGATTGTGCCCCCAAACAAATAAAATAAAAATAAAAACAAAGAGGGAATCATTGTTTTGTGAAATAACTTCAGGTGGAAAGCCAATGCAGCGCAGGCTGGCACGTTTCTAAACCAGTTCCTTGGACATCTCGTCAGTGCAGTGTCTGCATTCTTTCCATGGGGTGTGCTGGGTGTGCTGGGTTTTCTAAAATCTTGGGTTATTAAGCAACTAAATATTCATGCTTTAATATTACATTGTTCCAATCTATCAGAGATCTATCAGTAGGATGACCACCAGTCTTGTAAATGTAAAAGTTTAATGCAAAAAGCTGAGGCGTGATGTTAGAGTATGAAAATTGTCTTTGTTGATCAAAATACAAAACTGTTGATGCCTTACTGTGTGTCACTTCAATGAAGCTAACAAGATAGGCAAGTAATATTTAGCAGATCAATCTTAGCTAGCTGTTGCATGTCATAGAGCAGCGATGTTTTTGATCATGCCTGCAGATTTCTGTTTTACTTGTTTGCCTTGCCTCTTAAGTTGTTCTTGAAAAGTATTTAAGCTCTTTTTGCTTAGGAACCAATTTCAAGTTCCTGAGGAGCTTGAGTGAATTATTCTAAGTCTCACCTGCTTTCACTCTTGGATGCAATTTCCATGCAGACAGAATTGGTGGGTCAGGAAAAGCATCCTCTGACTAAACCAGGTCAGAAAAGGCAATAGCATAGTTCCCTCCTGGTTAGATTCCGAGTAGCTTCATCACAGCTGTGTTTCAGTGAAGGGGACTGGGCCCTTAACAGGGGCTAGAGCCATTGCAGAAGCCCAGAGCAGTCCACTTTCCAGCTGTGTTGCTCTCATTGTTATGAGAAATAATTCCCTAGTAAGGAATGCCTGCCCTCCTTTTCTTCTCTTGGTGAGCACCTTATACTGAAATGTGAGCCGTGTAGGTTTTCAGGGAGCTGCACCTGAAGAGTCCTTCCCATGTTCTTGTGAATCGAGCTCAAGGAGGATGAAAATCCCCAAACCTTTAATCTGTGGGAACTAAGCATATGTTGAGTAGGAAGGTTTTCTTTTAGATTGATGCAAATGATCTGTTAACCCATCTGCTTTTCATAGAGTACGTTCTGTTGTAGAGATCCGCTCTGTATGAGGGAGATTAGCAGTGAAGTACAAGACACGTATGACTAAATTATGTTCCCGTGAAATGCTGTTTTAGACTGTTTTTCACTTCGGTGTGTTCTCTTCTTTATGATTGAGTTTGCAGAGAGTAGCCTTGAAATGCGTGGGGTCTTTACGAATATGCTGTTATAATAAATAACTTGCAGGTATGACACAACATTGCCTTTTATTTGTGGATGTTTGGGTTTTTCTACCTTGACTAAGCACAGCTGAGCTAAAACAGAAAGTCAATCACAATTAGTTGAAACAAACATGAGACACTTTCTTTCCAAATAAACAGAGGGGCATAATAAACAGAGAGCACCCCACAAAATCAGGCTCTGCTAAACAGTGTGCTCCATGTTGCAAAACTACTGAAGAAAGCAGAATTCAGCTCTTCTGACACTGCAGCTCTGCCTGTAGTCTGAGCAACAGAGGGCATCCTGACAGCAAGAGGAGCTGGAGATCTCAGCCAGCTGAAGTTCAGCTTGTTTTCCTGAGGGCTGATATCAAGAACATGAATTCTGAGGTCAAGCAGAATATAATTCAGGTAAGAAGCAGTGTATTCCTACTCCAGAAGCATCAGAACTGGGATTGTGCCTGTGATTACCTGCTTGCAGTCCACTTGTTTTTCAGCAAGATTGGGATTTGACTTCTCTGTTCTCGTAGTCTTTTTCATAAGAAATTCCCCATGGGCAGACACCCAGATCCCCATGACCAATAGGTCTCTGTTCTATACCGTCAACCAGAACCAGTTTATTTGCAAACTCAGCTGATTTTGTAGCTGGGCAGGAGGAGGACACAAACATGTTAGGAATAGCACTAAAGCCTTTCTGGTTGTAACAATGAATGGCTCCTGTTGGTGGATTGAAGATGTTCAGCACTTGATGGTTGTATTATGATGACCTTAGTTCTCAAAATCCCGCAGTGGTGCACTTCATTTGGCTGTTCGTTTCACTTCCTCCTAAGCAGCTTGGGTTTGCAAACTTGTTAGTGACCTGGCCAGCAAATTCCTCCTTTGATTTCTTTATCTCAGATGTCCTGAGGAGCCCTAACAGCACTGAAGTTTGTTTGTTAGCACTTGACAGTTGAAACAGTAGAATTCACATACACTGTTTTGTTATTTTGAGCAGCTTGATGGCAATTTATTCTCCCCTACTCCTCCCATGTAGATTCCTGAGAGCTGAGCTGTTGCCAGGCAGGAACTGTAGTGTGGCTGTGAGTACATTAGTGACTACTGGGCTGTAGGGGAAAGCAGAAGAGTAGGATTCTAGTTAGTCTTTCCATCCCAGCCCAGGCAGCTCTCTTTTTCAAAGACCTATTAATGCTGGACCATCACTTACCTAGTAAGATGTTGTCCCAGGCTACTTATCCAATTATTTCTATGCTACAACTGTCATAGCTGGCCAAGATTCTACTCTTTTTGGGGCTTTGCTTGTTTCTGTTTCACCTCAATTTAAAAAGCACCATGGCAATTACTATACTGGTACAGTTCTGCACATTAGGCAGCAGTTGCTTTTCAACACATAGTGAAGCTTGCCAATTTTAATTTATTGTAAATTAGCAAGGAATATGAAGCTATTTTTCAGCTTCCTTAAAGGCCTCGAGTAACTTCATCAGTGGGAACTGACCATGCTTTCTCTGATAGAACTTGCTTCAATGGCAGCACTATTGTTCTGATTTGTCCCTTGTTTCACAGTTTGCCTCATGCAAATGAACACCTCTGCCTCCACATCATTGAAGTAGGAGTTGGCAAGTGGCCTTGTGATGAATAACTTTCAGAATATGTAGGCAATACCTGCAAGCCCTTTGTATGCTGTAAATAATGTGGGTGGTGTTTTAGAGTATTTTTGCAATTCTAGATGTAAATGAAATTGAAAATACTATGTAGTGTTTCACTATACAGAACACACAGTAGCTTTAATGACATGGGTGACGATTCCTTAAATTAACTGCTAAGATCAACAGTTAATGACATAAGAAATAGAAAAGTGAGAAGTAAAAGATCATGATCTCCTTGATTCAACACCACATAGAACTACGTGGGTTTTCATCAAGGGTGATTTTATTTCTTTTTAGTACTGCCTTAGTGCTTCTATTTCCTCTTACACAGACTAATGACTGTGGCTCAGTGTATCTACCTTGCAGAACTTAATGCAGTGATTTAGGATATACTACATGCACGTCACAGCGTTAAGGTACTTTCAAAATCCTTTTCTGCCTTGCCAAGCTACAAGAATATGCTTTTTCTGGAAGTACAGGATATAAAAGCCCTGTCTCCATATGTTCAAAAGTAAAATACTGGTCCACAAGTTGGCTTACTGTGCTAAGCAAGAAACTTGTAGAAGGAATAGTGCTTTAATCAACTTTGGTACTTCCTTTCTTTTACCACATCTAAATAATAGAATAATGTATTCTGTAGAATTACTTATTTTAACGTTTAATTGCTTGAGTTGTCTCTCTCACTGAATCCCTGAAGAAAAACTCTTCTGCCCTTCAGGTTGTTTTTGTTGTTGCTGTTTCTCTTGTGTTGTTATGATTTTTACCCAGTTTATCTGATTCTTTCTGTACAGTGGTATGAACATGCCAAGGTCGAGTTCAGCCCCTTCTAATGCATGAGCTGCACAGAGTGCATCTGGTCCAACTGCAGAACAGGCAGAGCGAGCAGCCTTCTCAGCTGCAGTAACTTGGCAGAGCTCAGCCTGCTCTACTCTGCAGTACTCCAGCAGTACTGCTCTGTGCGGTCAGGCTCTAGCTGAGGAGTCAGTATTCAGTGCTTGAGCAAACAATCTATTTTCTGTGCTACTGCTGAATGCAATTTACCCCATTGTTAAGTATTTTTCTCTAGCTTTGTGACAGCAACTCAATGAATATTCTAATTTTGCTGGATTATTCTTTTTTCCCCCAAGGATTGGAAACAAAATTGAAATTCAAATAAGTTGAAGCATCAAACAAAACCACAGTTGAGTATTTTAAGTACTGCAGCGCAGGGGGCAAATAGTGAGAATAATGCTAAATGTATTACAATATATATCAACGAAATGCAAAAAGCAAAAAATGCTAACAGTTTTGCTCCTCATTCAGCCTGCACCCTTTGTTACTCTGCCTTTTAGCAACCGCCTAGCAGGGCTGAGATGTCTTATCAACATGTGCTAATGCTATTGAAGCAAATCGAGACCAGTTGTGTGCACCATCACCTGATATCTGAGTCACTCTGTAGCCAAGGCAGCAGAGCAGCTTCACGAAGCCCACGTGACCACATCTGCAGTGTGTCATAATGCAGCATATGCAGTGTGCACCCAGAAAACGGAGCAGCCCGAGGAGGAGAGCCTCGGCTGTCACAGCCCCAGGACAGTCACAGAACTCAGGACACCTCCGATGGTCTGCTTTGTGAGAAGCTATCAATTAATTCTGTAAGGGATGATGCAGGATTTTGTGCATAAGCATTTCATAATGAATTCTCCCTTGCTTTTGGAGCTCGGTGTGTTCATCTGCCAGCTGACTGTGAACATCAAGTCTTTGATACAGTTTAATTATACCTGTTGTTCTGTGTTTGAAGTACCATTTAATTTGTTTATTAAAATAAGTAATTTCACGTTATCTTCAACATTTACATGAAATTCTATGGTGGTTCATGATGTCACAGCTAGAAGATATCTAGAGCTAACACCAATTTTGTTACTGCTCTCTTACTGGTACCATTATTATCTCACATCTCACATCTAGTTGAGACAAAAAAATCCCCTTGTTCTCAGAGTACCAGCATTTGCCATGAGAGGTCACTCTATCCAGAAAGATGCTGAGCTGCAACAGACCTGCTCTTATCTGAACAGTGCACCTGAACAATGAAGAAGTGCTTGTGAACTCACTCTGACGGCGCTGGAAGTAAATCAGCTATTTGTATAAAAGCTACACTCCACACTTCCCCAAAAATGGAAGAAGAGAAAGAGTTGTGAAGATTACTCACATCAGTCCACATTCTTTAAATGGCTCTTAAACAGAAAGCAGTGAGAAGGAAGAAAATGCGTGATTTAAAACAAACTTCTTCCATGATTGGTTTTTTTTTCCTCACCCCAAATAAATTGGAAGCTTGCACCGGATCCAAACGAGGCAGAAAACATACCATGGAAAATTAGACAAGTGATACTCAAAACTTCCTTGGTTTGTTAATACAAAAATCAAATTGAACACCATACATTGTGAGTCAGCATCTCAGAGATCATCAGTATGCTGAAGTAGCAGGGCAATAAATGATGCTCGGAGGTGGACTTCGAATCAGAGCACGTGTGTGGAATTTGGAATGTAAGAAATGTTGTAGTGGTATGTTTAGTGTTGTTGCAAGGATTTAGAAAAATTGGAGCCTGTTATTTCCTTTTAAATATTTGATATTTTTGGTTCAATGCATATAGCAGATGAAATTGTCTTCAGAAAATATTTGCACCTATAAGCATTGCAATTCAGAAAACTTCACGGAAAGCCCAATGCTGGCTATCACCTAGCTGGGGAAACAGGATTTTATTTTTAGATTTTAATGCTCAGCAAATCAAAAGGAAGCTTTCTGCAATCCAGATGTCAGGAGTCAGTACTAGTGCCACCGGTACCAGAGAACCAAGGGGCCCTAAAGTAAAGCACATAACATGCAAAGCTCACGTGCCTTGTTTGTTAGTTCAGCATAGAAAGAAAGAATGACAAGATTTCTCATCTTACAGGACAGCTTCCAGGTGAGATACATCACCTATCAGAAAAGAAACATTCTAAAGAAATACTCATTAGTTGCTTATCAGTCTGGCACTTAAGTTGCTTGGGGCACCATTGTAGGCAGTGTAGAAAGGCTACCTGCTCAGCACTGTGTTTATAACTGTTTTTAAAATCCTGTGCTTTATGACAGTTGAAACTTGTAACATGGAGAGAAGGAAGCAGTGAGCCGGGCTCTAGAGCAGAAGCTCTTAGGATGGAGATATTCAGATGCCATTCCTCCTGTTACTGAGATGCTGCACATAGAAAACAAAAGAATAAAAGTTGCCACTAAAAACCCTGCTGTTCACTGCTCCTTCTTCATTTCATAATTATAAAGAAGCGATGATGAGGAAGGACCAACATGTTACAATGCTGGTTGTGGTCTAGATGATAAAAGGAAGAGCCTGTATGCTTCTCTCTGGTTCAGTAGATTAAAAGTAACCTGGAAGCAACCTGTATTATCTTTTCCACAGAGACTGGTATCTTTGATGTTCAGATACTCTTCTTACCCCTTTACAGTCAAAGAAAGGCAAATTCCCTGCAATGGCCCTGCAAATAAGACAGATGGAAAAGAAAACACTGGGTCATTCTCAAAAGAATGAAGAGCTGGGTGCAAGTTCCCTTAACTTGGAAAAGAAAAGTCAGGTTTTATAAGTTATGTAAACTTGTGGCAAGGCTTGGCTCACATCATCGTGGGAAGGAAGCTGAGTCAAGTCAGTGGCAGCCAGGACATTTAGCTTTAAGGCAAAGGACACCTCCATCCTTCCTGTGACAGAAAATAATGACAGCAGTTTCTGTGGGAAGCACAAGATCTCTGTGACAGTAGATTGGAATTCATCAGTGAATTCTGAAAGAATTACAGATTGCAGAAAGACAGCCCCAAAAGCACGCCTGGATAAAGGCTGGCAGTAACTCAGTAGGGATTATCAGGAAGACCCCTCAGTCCTGCAGCCCGTGGCACACTCAAACAGGCTGCTTCAGAGGCTCACTGGGTCTCTGCAGATCCTTCTGTTGGCTCTGGAGCTCTGGGCTTTGAGCAGGGACAAGCACAGCACGTTAAGACAGATGGTTTTATTGATCTGTTCTGTGTGGTAGTCCTGGATTGCACTTGGACATACAGCAAAACAAATACATGATGGTTGGTTGGCAGAGCTTTCTCTCCAGGCTAGGATATGTCTGATCTTTCAGAAATTAGCTTGCTTTGCATTTGAAAATGGAAAAGACTCACTTTTTAAAATTATTCTTTTTTTCCCCTGCTACTGCTTCTGAACAGATCCTAACCTTTCATCAGCGCAGATCAGTATTTCCACCCACAAGGAATAAGAGCTTAGAGCCAATTCCTCTGTTATTATTCTGTAGTTAAATTGTAAAATCACTGAGAGGCATCAATCAGGACTGGATTAATGTAATGCCAGGCAAAAGAAAAACAACCAAACACAACAGAACTAGATCACAGTTCCTGACTCTGATCCTTCCTTGTGACAAGTTCTTATGAATTTTATATTATTTAATCACAGCTCAAAAGGTACCTATTTTGGAAAACCAATTAATATGCCTTCTCAGTGCATGTGCAGTACATTCATCCATAAAAATATGAGTTATAAGTGGTATTTTGTGTAGGAAAGATCTAGGGCATAACACAGATGTTTCTGGGGGGGGGAAATCTCAGTGTTCATTATTAATCACAGGCTCAGATATGTATGGAGTGGGCAGGATACAGCACAGAGGAGTAGAGTTAATACGAGACGTGATGTTTTCTGGCATCTATACAAGGCATGATTTAAAAGAAACAATCAATCAAAGGGAAACAGCTCAAACCCCTCAAAAACAGCAGCAGCAGCAAATGGTCACTTCAGCAGACTGAATACAGTAAGTATTACTTAGGCAACACCCATACAGAATGCTGCATTGGTCATATTTCATCTAATAATAATGATAATGAAGTAGAAACTGGAATAAATAGAAAAGGTCACCTACCTGAGCAAGACAAGAACAGTCTCTCATGAAGAGGGAAAACTTGGAATATATTTGGAGACAAAAATGTTGGATAGTTAATGTGCCCATGCCTGCTCACCACCACAGTCTTCAGACCTTAGAAAATATTAACAGAAAACAAACAGTAACTGCTTTCCTCAGTCTGCCACACGACTGTGTAGAGCCTCCACATGCATGTGGAACAGCTGCTCTCAGGAAGAGTGTTTTCTAAGCATCGAGGGGCATTTAAAAATTAGCTGTAAACATGGTTATATGCAATATTGTAAATATGTTTGTTAGATCAAAACTTTTAATTGCTGCTGCCCCACGTGTCACCATGTCCTAAGTTCTCTGCAGGGCCTGCAGGCAGCACTTCCTGGCAGTGCTCACTTTTCCAATGATACTGCTCTTCTGTAGGTAAACTGGAGGCTCTGCAGCCAAGCAGAATCTGCTTCTGATAGCACCTGACTCTTGGGTTACCTTTGGTAAAGGGCCTTCATCCATTCTGAAACAGTTCTTGGCAGCCTCCTCACCCTCCTCTGCAGGGGACAAAAGCAATGATTGAGGGTGGATATCCTTTACATTGCCTTCTCGGAAATCCTGTAAGTGGAAATTAAACATTAGATTAAACACGACTTCTTTCCTAACCAAAGGGCTTAATAAATATTGCTTCCTTAAGCTTACTGTACTTTGGCATAGCAAAGTTAATTTGTGCTACGTAATCCTGTTGCTATGCAAATAGTTTGTTTTTACATTCAAAATGAAAGAAAAAGTGTATGTAAGGAGATGCATGTCTCAGGCTAGGCTAATATGCTCTTGGTACAAGGAAAAGCAGTGTTGGTCTTTGAAATTTTTTATGCATCTTTTCATTACATTCTTAATTATGTTTTAAAGTATTTATTTTTATATGACTTAAATTAGAAAAACTTTCAGACCACGAGGGCATTTGGACATGGATGCTCTTTTTTTTTAAACACACTTGGCTTAGTTCATACTTCTCAGCTTTCCTCGTACTTCTGATGCAAGAATTCCAGAATTCCATGCATGCTTGTTGCAGCTGCACATCTAAAATAAAGCTTATATTATTATGGCTCTATTTCAGGAATTACACTCAGACTTACACACAGTTTGAACACTGAAGAGAGACCTTGAAAAACATCGGTGAGGTTTATGTTGTACTGACAACGAACAGCAGGTTGCAGTATTGAGGAACACTTTTAGCAACGTGACAACTGATAAGAAATTAGCGAACTTTTTTTTTTTTTAATTGAAACAAATTACACAAGGAACTCACCAGGCAATTCAATCACCAGAATGAAATCATGAAACCTCTGTTAGCATAGATTATATGAAAATAAGTGAGAATGAACTTGTAGTTCCACATATTTAAAGTTTTTCTTTTTTGTTGTTGTTGTTGTTGCCTCATAACTAGCATGCTTCACTTCTACATCTTTCCTGTTTCATGTGTATTTAGTAAAGCAATGTGTATTGCTTAAAGCCTCCACACTTTGACCACACTAGATATCACAAACAGAAGCAGAATATGCCAAGTTTTACTGAAGGATGAAGTATGAAATTCAACTAAACCACTGTTGCTCAGAGAAAGGTGGCAGCCTTGCAATCAGAGACTTAAGTTTCTATTTGCCCTTGCTAAGTAAAGTAAAATGTAAAAGTAAGGTGTAAAAGGACCTATTTGTCATATGTATCATTTTAGAAGGTGTGTATACAACACAACAATAACAACATATCATTAGATTGTTAAGATCACATGGAATTGATTCCATTGGATAATACAGAGATGAGATAGGATGAAGAAACCAAGCATTCCAGGTTAATGATTAGAGTATGCCAGTGATCAAAATGTGACCTCAGCAAGAAAAAGACTTTCTTTTGTTTATCATTAATAGACCTAGAGAAGGCAGAACTGAAAGTGAGCGAAAGGACATGCAAATGTAACAGGACTGATGGCACACTGAAGTGGTAGCATACGTAGGAATGCTCTACCTGTCTTGAACAGCCATGTGCTGTGTCCGGTAGCCAAAATATTACTGACCCCTGAGACAGTTTTTGACATTTATAGTGTTCTATATGAAAAGTGGAGAGAGATGTTTGTTTGTTTTTTGTTTTTTAAATAAAGAATAGATATGGGCCTTTCAAACTGGGAGTGAACCCTCTGGTATCTCTCACTGTAGTTGATGCTCAGGAACTATTCAGCTTGAAATCTTTAAATTTTTTTTGCAGCTAAGCAGGGAATTAGGAATTCATAATTCATTAACCATCTTACTACATACGCACATCCACTGAATGACTTATTTTTATATTTATTTTTTAAATTACGGTGTTTCAGATCAAACAGAATAATGAGATTAAAACTGTTTCGGCATCACTGCATGGAGATATCTCACTTAAACCTGCAGTACAAGCAGCTTTGCACACCTACAAGTAATGCAATGGGTAGCTGTGACAATCAGAAAGATCAGCGTGGAGGAACAGTGATAAGGAGGCATAATGACAAAGGGAGCAGTACGATGGAAAGGGGCTACAAAGAAAAAGGAAAGCATTCATCCATTTCTGAAGATCTAGGCTCCCAGGGGAAAACTCCATAAGGAGAAAATCTCCAAGCAGAAATCCTTCCTCAGTGACAGCCCTTCAATGAGGTCTAAGAGAGGTGCAGCCAGGCTCCACCCCTTCTGGTCACACAGCTGAATTGCCTTCACCTGTGCACCTAGGGCTGACTGGGTCCTTTCCTTTTCCTTTTTTCCCCAGGTGCTCCATCAGTGGGTCAGGCTGGGACTCAACAGTTCCCATACAGCAGTGTAACACACAGCCTCCTGAAAGCTATTCTTGTTTTTGTCCTGATGTGGTTACATAAAGAGCATGAATACATGAGATTGTGAAAGGCTGTAGCAGGTGGCTCTTGAAAGACAAAGGTCTTGCCTGCTTATTTGGAGAGGGTTCAAAGAAGGGCCACAAAGGTGCTCTGAGGGCTGGAGCACCTCTCCTAAGAAGACAGGCTGAAGGAGTTGGGCTTCTTCAGCTTGGAGAAGGCTCCAGGGAGACTGCATTACAACTTTCCAATATTTTAAGGGAGATAACAAACAGGAGGGAAAACAACTTTTTGCATGGGTAGATAGTGATAGTTCAAGGGAGAATGGCTTTAAGCTAAAGGAGGGAAGATTTAGATCAGATACAGGGAGAAATATTTTGTTGAGAGTGATGAGGTGGTGGCACAGGCTGCTCAGAGATGGTGTGGATGCCCCATCCATGGAGGTGTTCAAGGCTGGGTTGGATGGGGCTCTGGGCGGCCTGGTCTAGTGCTTGATCCAGTGGTTGGCAACCCTGTGGCAGGGGGGTTGGAACTGGTGATCCTTGAGGTCCCTTCCAACCCAAACCACGTATTTATGTTAAGACTCCATTTTGTTGAATTACATGAAGTGCAAATATTCATTCCTAAATACAAGGTAGCTTAGCTGCTTGACATTCAAAGATAGTGAATGACCTCACTGTTAATGCTGCTAATGCCAGAAATCTTCCAAGATGATCTTTATGGGACAGAAACTTGTGCTTGATATTACACTATTTGGTCTTAAGACAAGATAATAATAATTTATTCAAAGCCACTACAACATTATCCCACAAATAAACATTGTAACAATAAAATCTAAGAAAGTGAAATATCTCAAGCCCTTAAGAACTTATTTTTGTTAAAACTTAAATACATTGTCATTATTTTAAACACATTCTCTAAACATCTTCAAGGAGGGCAGGAGAGAAAGTTGATTTAACAATGGCTGTAAATTTCAAAGCTTCTAAATGGATTTATCTCAGTGAGTGAAAGGTAGTCACAAAAACAAGCATAAAAATACTAGTTCTTACATGAATTTGAAATACTTTAAATAGTTTCTGAAAGCATTCAAATTACATGCAGAACTGATTTTAACAAGGGTTAAAATACAGTGTAGATAACAGCCTTATAAGTCTTTGCAGCTACAATCCTCAAGGACCACCAGAAAATATTTTGTACAGGTACACCATACACTCTGTCATGTTACACCTGACATGTTACCAAGGGGAAATTAATTTGAAACAAAGCACTGGTGCTATGAAAGCTCATCTGCCTTTTCTGGAACACTTAGTCTTAGCAACCAGCAGCAAAAGAGTCCCAGCAGATATTAAACTGCAGAGCTCAGCTTGTAGAGGTTGCTGACTTTTTAGCCAGTCAGTGAATTAGCTACATATAAAACAGTTTATCCACATAGTCACAGAAACGCTTGAAAACTACAGTTCAGAAATCCCAAATGAGGTATTCTAATAGCATTTCTCTCGAAATGTTTTTGGGGTTTTTTTTGTGGGTTTTTTTTTTTTTTTTTTTTTTTTTTTTTGTTATTTACACAGTTTGTTTTCCTACCTGCAAGCTACATTTGCTGTTCTCTATTTTCAGCCACTTTTCTGGTAAAGGGCTTTGTAGTAACAGATTGAACACTTGGTAACAATAATCATCTTAATATCTGTATACGTTTGTACAGAACAGGATGTATGTTTTGCTGTGTGGTTCCTAGGAAGATTGAACAGGTTAAATGTTGAAAAGACAACCAAAATTTGAAGGGAGAATCAGCAACAGAACAAGGAATAATAGCCTAAAACTGGAGCATAGGAAGCTCCATACTAACATGCAGAGGAATGTCTTTAAGGTAAGGGTGACAGAGCACTGGGACAGGCTGCTCAGAGAGGTTGTGGAGTCTCCTTCTATGGAGATATTCAAAACTCATCTGGACTCCTACCTGTGTGCCCTATTGTAGGGTACCTGCTTTAGCATAGGGGTTGGACTCGATGATCTCTTGAGGTCCCTCCCAACCCCCGTGATTCAGTAATTTTTTTCTAAATTAGCATGAAAATTCAGATGTAATTGTAAGCTGAAAAAAGAAATTTGTTTTTTATTATGTAAATTTGCACCTGGCTTGTGCAGCAAGCCACAACATTTGAGAGAAGGATGGATGCATTCCAAAGATTTGGGAAAACCGTACAAAACATTTTATGCCGTTTTTGAGATTGCTGAGGGAAATACATGAAGAAACTAACTCACGAGGAAATTATTAAAGAAATACAAGGCATCATCATCCCCAATACCCAACTTGTTACATGGAGAAGGCTGACAACGTTCTACACTTTATTAAACACAACACTACGCATAAATAGTGCTTTCAGCTGTGAGTGGTCTCATCACTGAGCAAGAACGCCCAGCTGGTTCACTCACCTGCGTGTGCCTGGGGCTACCAGTGAGAGCTGTGGGCACCCGCAGCTGCCAGCTGTGCACCTGCCTGGAATATCGGCTGTCTGCTAATGGCGGTATTTGGACCTCATCCTGTGAAGGGAAGCAATGCCCGTAAAGTGAAAGATCGGAAAGGTTAATGACCACAAGCATTAATTAATACGGCGGGCACCCGCTTTCCAACACCTTAGGGGCGCTGCCGCCCTCCACGCACGGCTAAGCCTTCGAGGCCACGTTGGCCTGAGGGGCGCACCGAGCCGCCGCCAAATGGGCGGGAAGCGCGCAGGGCGCTGCCATCGCGCCTCCTCCCGCGCCGCAGGACTGTCACCATAGCAACCGGCGGCGCGGCGCCGCGCGGCACCATGGGAGATGTAGTCACAGTCGGCCCGTTGCCTCGCGGCCGCTCGGCCGTACTAACTCGCGTTCCCATGAGGCGCCGCGCGGGATGAAGACGGGCGGGAGGGCCGAGCGCGGCCCCGTCGCCCCTGGGGCCCCGCCTCGCTGAGGGGGACGCACCTCCGCCCTCACACACCTCCCGGGGCGCTGTGCGGCAGCGGGCCGCGAGGGGCGGTGTGACCCGCGATGCTTGGGGTGCGATGCCGGGTTTCGCTCTCGGCTTTGCAGTGTCACCGCGCTCCTCCTCGGGCGGGGGTGCCCGGTGAGGAGGGGGGAGGGGTTGCCTGCACCTTCTGCGGTGCCGCCGTGAGAGTCGTCGCCTCCGATGGAGGGGCCGAGTTTCGGAGAGGTTCGGTCTCGCTGGGCGATACTACGAAGCGGTGGATCGGCGGCACGAAGGGCGCCCGCGCCCCGTTGCTGACGGCAACGCGAATCCCGCTGAAGGGGGAGCGGGAGGGCAGCGAGACAGCGCGCTGCTCCTGGGGAACATCGCTCCAGAGAACGACAGCAAATAAACACTAATAAAGAACGCAGCAGTCCAGTCCTCCTGCCCACGTTTTCCGTGGCAAACCGCCCCGGGACACGAGAAGCTAGAATTGTTTGAATTGCACGATAGACGCGAAGAGGACGCGTTGGGTCAGCGGGGAGCAGCGCAGGACGGGGCGGAGGGGCCGGGAGAGCCCTGAGGGCAGGGCAGGGAGCCGCCGAACGGCTCAGCGCAGCACGGGCTGCAGCCAGGCAGCGCTCCCCGACTGCGCGTCCGCTACGCGCGCATCCCGCCATTCACAAACGCGAGCCGTTGGGTTTTTTTTTCCTCGTGATTTTTTTTTTTTTTTTTTGGTCTCCTCTCAGCTTTGACCCAAAGATAGAAAGCTCAGCGAGGAGAGCGGCCCGAGGAGCGCCGCGCGGGGAAAGCAGGCGGGAACTGCGGCGGAGGAGGCGCGGGCAGGCAGGCAGGCAGGCAGGCAGGTGGCGGTGAGGCGGGGGGAGTGGTAGGGCCGTGCTTGCGGCCCCGCTGGCGGCGCTCGGCCGGGTCGCGGCGCGGCGGCTGATGGTGGCGGCGCAGAGCTGACCGCCCAGCGCTGCCGACGCGTTTGGCGTCGACTACCGTCGCCGCGAAGCGCCGCCACCTGAAGATTCGTCGAGTCGAAAGGGGAAAACCCCGACGGGAGAAGGAGGAGGTGGGGGAGAGGAGGGGCAGAGCCGCGTTTCGTGCGTGCCAGTGGGGAGAGGGGATTGGTTATCATGGCGGATCGGACGGCTCCCAGATGCCGGCTCCGTCTGGAGTGGGTTTACGGGTACAGGGGCCACCAGTGCCGCAACAACCTGTACTACACGGCGGGCAAGGAGGTGGTCTACTTCGTGGCCGGAGTCGGCGTGGTTTACAACACCCGAGAGCACAGCCAGAAATTCTTCCTCGGGCACAACGACGATATTATCAGGTAAGGGGGTGACTTGTCTTTGGTGGGGTGGGGTTTAAATGAAGGGAGGGGAAAGCGGGTCGGTTCCCCCTCCTCGCTTCTCGCGGCTGGACCTGGCGTCGTGGAGCCGCTCGGGTTTCGTGCCGGCGGTCGGGGTGAAAGCCGGCTGTCTGCAGGTTGTTGTGATTGTTATTTCCGTGGCATCGCTTCGAAACGTTGCAGTGATGAGATAGAAAGCTTTTTTTTTTTTTTTTTTTTGTGCCGCACCAAATGCGAAACAGTTTCAGCGTGGCGATGCAATGGGAAGATCCTAATGCAACAACGAGCCCAGCACCTTGCTCTTCCCAGCGTTGGGACCTCGTCTCTCTCATTCTGTTGCCTTACAGCAGGCAGGGGCAGTTCCCTTTACACCCTGCACAAGTGTGCTGTAAACTCGGCCCGTAGATCAAACTGATCTATTTCTATCATCCTGAAAATCTTTTGCCAAGTCAATTTTAGCTCTTTGTACCCAAGATAAAAAATAATCTCAGGCGTGCTGGTGCAAGATGGCTACAGGAGGTCTTGCTCCTCATCTGGTCAATTTCTTGTATCTTTTTTTTCACCTTCTTTCTGAAGAGTGACTTTAACTGATGCTGTTGTATTAGAGAAATACAAGATTTAATGCACCACACAAAGTAACAAAACTGTGGTTCCAAAGTTCCAAGTAGCCTTTTTAAAAAAAATCTGTCCAAAACACAGAAATTGTCAGTATGTAGAAAATCAGAGTTACTTCTTCTCCTGCTCTCCTCCTGTCAGATATCTGAACCTGGAATACCCTCATAAAGGCATCATTGCACAGTATGATGCTGAGCACGGCTAACTGCTGCCCTCCTGATTCACCTGAATTCAGTATGAATGAGGCATTTTCTCAGTGATCAGCACAGACCCAGGAGACTCGTGGTGTGAGTGCAGGAACACATGCTGAAGTCAAAGTTTGGACACTTGCTAACAGAATCACGTAGCTGTCATACAATCATTCTGGACTCTTGTTTACAGAAAACTCTCTGCTTTCCCCAGGGAGAGCTTTTGGCTGCTCTGTCCCAAGTAGCATTTTTCTCCTCCCTTTTATAGTCCATGATAAAGCAATAGTATTTCATGAAATACCGGGGATTGCTTAAGAATTTATTATGGTTTTAAAGGTAATGTCACTTCCAGAAGGCTGTTCAAATAGACTCTTGTCTCTTCAGATTACTAAGATAAGAATGACTATTTTACTGAATCTGCAGTATCATGGAATGCAGGTTTTTCTTTCCGGATAACCTGTCAAGACACAAGTGCATATGCTCACTGCTTCTTTGGTTTGACAGAGATGCTTTTATTCTCCTTCCCTCACCTGCACCCTCCCTCTTTAATATCCCATCTACTGAGGAAATAATGTCAGGTTTAATAAACCTGACAACAGTTCCTGGCTGAAGCTGTCTGTGCTGTGTGACTTCTGTGCCTTGTCTTTTAAAGCACTCTTTAAAAGAGAGACCACTTTTGGCAGTCTCTCATTTAGAGTATAAAAGGGGACTAGGAAGAACATGAGTGACTGCTGTTTGTACTTCAGATGCTGCTCTGCCTGTTCTACTTTTTAAAGAAAATGAGTAATCACTTGTTCAGATCAGCAGGTGTTTTGACGACTCACTGTTTGCTCAGCTAATTTTTAGCTTGTGCTTTTGAAAGGTGAAGTTTGTTCCTGTTCAGAACAAGATCAGAATTTTGTAGGATGACCATAATTTCAGCAGAGGATGAAATGTTTTGGCCCAGAGGGTGAGAGCAGGACTCAAGATATCGGATGATTTGAGCTTTTAGTGGCCTAGAGAAGTTGTCATTTTAAGTGTTTTAAGGGAGGAAAGAGAGCTGTTGTTTGAGTCTCCAAAATGTTGTTAGGATGTTCCATCTTTTGCATCCATCAATGGTTGCCTTTGCTACCTTTGATGCAGTTTGTAGACCTTATTGAAGGACATCCCATCGCTGCAGTACTTCCAAGTAGATGGTTCCTTGCATGAATATAAATAATAGAATTGAAATTATAATATTTTAGACTTCATGGCATCCCACTGACACGAATGGGCTGACTGTAATCCTTCAGTTTTTCTTGTTTTGTTGGTACTTATTTCCCTGGGACTAACTTCTAAACAGTAGTGTGTATATTTGCAGTCCAACAGGTTGTAATTTTTAAGGAGGTTTGAAACATGATTAAAAACAAATAAATGAGGCTTGCAGACTTCGGAAAATACTGCACAATCATTAAGACTGGAAGGCCTTGAAGAGGGCAGAACTACTTCCAGGGGTTGCCATTAGCTCCTGCCGTGTTGAAAACATTCAGTAAATACAACCTTTTTTTGGGAGGGAGAGGAGGAAGAGGAACCGAGAAATGTTTCCTTGAAGTGTTTGTTAAAATCATGAAGGTGGATATTCTTCCTTGGTGAAAAGGTTGCGTGATTAAAAATGTACGCTTGCTTTTCATCACAATTTTAATGGTCTTGTCTCTTGCTTTCTGTCAAGATAATTCGGTTGGACGTAATTTAGTTGTGGCAAAAATAGACCAGATTGTACTGGATTAATGAAGAAATAATTTGTTTTTTTCCTTTCTAAAATTCATATTTGAAAAATATGTTCTGCGCTCAGCTGTAAAGTAGGTGTTCAGAATATGAACAAAGTGAGTTCTGAAGTGTATTTCTGTGCAAAGCAGCTACAAGGTGCTGTACTTTTGAGCTCTTCTGCCTCTCACCTTCCTATGAGACGGGTTTCTGAGTTGCCTGGTTGAGCTCTGAAGTGAGCCCAGCTTTGTGGATGGGTTGCTCTGGGTGCCCTGCAGGGCTCCCTGTCAAGGCTACAGCAGTCAGTGGTTTTTTGTTACTTCCTGTCGTGTAATACCATTCTTCTTGCATGTCATTTAATTGAGGAATAATTAATACTATTGATTATCAAGTCTTGTCTTTATAAAGCAGGATGAACACTTGGTTGAAATTAATAGCATTGGTTTTCTGAAGACCGCTGGTGCATTTTATTTGGAGCCCCACAAGACGTGCAATTTATGAAGTTTATAGTCAAAGAAAATGTAGCATACAGTATTCTTCACCCTCCTTTCCTTTTTTTCATGTTCATTTCTTCTGTTTGTTCTCAAAAATGCTCTAACAGCTGAGGGGCGTTGAAGGTCACAATAATCCTGTTTCCTCTGCTCTGCAAGCCCTGTAGTCTGCCCTAAGGTCTGTGTTCTAGACCACAAAGTATCACAAAATGTAACTCTGCATTTGAAGTGTGATCTACCTGAAGCATGGTAACTCAGGTGTGGGAGCTATGTCAAACATTTTAATGAGCAAAGTGTCATGTAGGTTATCATGAAGCATGTAGCTTTCTTTCTTTGGATTTGGTGATTTGTGCTTTCCAGGATTAGGTTTCGGAAGCTGTAATAATAACGTATGAGTATTGTTTTCCTTCCTGAGGAATATTAAAATAGGTTTTTGAAGCAGGTAATGGTTACAGCTCTAAGTCAATGTGTTGACGAGAACATTGCAGTTTGTGTGTTGTCACTGCCTTGAGTGAAATTCATGTGAGTGTGGGATTTACATTGACTACAACCAAAGTGGTTTGTGAGTTTTGAAGGTAACTGAACACTTTCAAAAGAAGATAAGGTGTTTTTATATTGTGTATTCCTTGTGTAACAGAGAGCAATGAGATCGCTGCTCTTTTCTCTCTTAATTAAATGTTGGATGGGGGGGGGGGCAGTTCTTTTCTGTATTTTTTTTCTGCAATTCTGCATGTGAAAGTGAAACAAAATGAAACTAAACAAAAATCAACCCAACATTTGCTATGGGAAACAGCGAAAACACAAATGCGATCAGTTAAGGTACTTCATTATACTTAAAATGCAATTTCACTGATTTACTTTTAGAATTCATTTCTAAACAGAGATTCCTAACCTTGAGAAAATTTAGTGATGATTTGGTGATAAGTTTGTCTGCCTGCTTTTATTTCCAATAATTTCTGCAATATTGAGCAGTTTTTCTGAATATGTATTGAAGACTTCATCTGCACTTTGCCTATACCACCATTTCCTAACATGTGATGTCTGCATTTAATTTGACAGATACCTCAATGTATCTGATATCCTGTGGCATCAAGCATTTTAAACAAGCACATTTTGCATTCTGCTGCCTTTCTCAGGAGCCTCTGCAGTGCTTGCTGCCTGGGCACACTACCTGGAAAGCCAGCCTATTATCTGTGGATACTAAAGCATGTCGTTTCTGTAAGGCTGCTTACAGTGTAATAGCAATGTAGGATTAATCAGAATATTGCTGTAAGTATGCGGGTGTGCTGCTGTGCTGACAGATTGAGATTAAAAATGCGGATGTGCCAGTGGTGATGGGATTTACTGAGCTGTGAGAGTGACAAGGGGCCTGCCTTATTCGTTTTAGAGAGACCTTTTGGAACACAAATACTTGTCTTTCTGTCTTTCTGTCTTTCTGTCTTTCTTGTCTTTCTGCAGCTGGGGAAAAGAGAAATATGTTTGCCTCCAACAATGTTGTTGACTGTAGCAAACATAACTTTCAAATAACTCAGTTGATGGCAGAGATTTGCAAATCAAGACCCTGGAGTTAAAATATCTAAATAGTAGTTTGATGTTTTTATATAAGTCTTACGTATTATTTCTGTTTATAGAGTGGTGTTATTTGAATGGATGCAAAATACTCCAAATTTATACATAATTGCCACCTTTCTGATGGTAAGGCACAGCATTCGTTTGCTGCAAAATAATATTCAACTTACTGTTCTCATTTACTGAAAGTGTATGGAAAATGGAGCTGTTTGCAGCTTGTACATAACCTGGACTTCAGTCACAGAAGATGCACATGCAGGACTGCTGAAACAGCCCCTGGGAAGACAGAAAGGTAGCAGTGAAGTATGAAATTTCCTGCAATGGAATGTCCAGACCTGCTTCTTGTGCCAGTGCCGTGTAGGTTCCTAAGCAAAGCCAGTACACCTTTGAAGGCATG